CATGAACTGCAGACCAAAATAAATACCAAAATCTCTCTGAGCATATCCACAGAATTATGAGTTGTTACACGCACAGAGGAAACTCAAATCCTGCTCTTTAAAACACAGCGCCGGAGGATAATTGCACTCACGGTTCATTTTTCTAACCAACAGTCTGTATCAAACGAGTGAATTCACAATATGTTCACCTCAGCCCTCCACCCCCGGTAACCTCACCCCCAGTGCCCATGAAATTTAAAACCCATTTTCTGTCATTTTCCAAATGGCACTGTGTCTCTTCTGACAAACAAAAGGGATGGTCTATTTTGAAACAGCGCCAATTTTCTCTGTAGTCCTTGACAATTATGAAGAGCACAGATGAGCAAATAATAGAAACTCCACGCTTTCTAATGGAGCTGTGTCACAGGTAGTTAAAAACCCATTCCCGTGGCTCACTCATCCAGGTCCCATTCCCATTTGCAGTCAAATGGACTGTCGTAGACTTGGATTTCTCCACTGTTTGTGGTAAACAACGTGTGTGTGCTCAACCAGCTAAAGTGAAAAATCACCGCAGTCTGAATGGCATGCTTTTAATATGCCAGTAACTGCGTTTCATTATCTTGGCACAGCTTACTCTGCTCAGACACTTGAGTGAAGATTAGAAAAAAAAAAGAAAAAAAAAAGGTTGTCTGTTGGCAGCACAAGTGTTAATCAGTAAAAACCTCACCAAATTACTTGGTTACTGGCAACTCCTGAAACTTTGTTTGAAGTCTCTCTCTGCTGGTTACAGTGGTGTCTTAGCGAAGACGCAGCATTCCGAGGACGACTCTGTTTAAATCTAATAATGAAAAAAACTTCTGTCCTTTTTTAGAAAAAAATGACTTTATTCAACAAAAAAACTTCTGTCCTTTTTTTTTAGAAAAAAATGACTTTATTCAAAACATATTGCCCCGGGCAGATAAATTGCACTGAAGTGCATTCCACAGCAGGCAACCAGTACTGACTCAGCGCTGTGGAGTCCAGGAGTCTTAGTACCAGTATGGTCTAGAAGAGTTGGGGCCAGAACCTGTACATGAAAAATTATAAAACTCTTTTTGGAAATCTTATACTGTAGTTACTAGCCATCAGCAAAGCTACATGGACTCACATCGCCCCCCAATGGAAGACTGAAAAAGTTTGCTTACATTTGAGTATTGGTATGAAATCTATAAAAGACCTACTCTAATAAAGGTCAGCCTTTAAAACAATTCATTCATTCATTCTTTTCTCTATACAGGTGTGGGCAAACTTTTTGACTCACATAAAGGCAAAAATAATTTTCTTCGCCATCTATTGGGGAAACGTGGGTATTGCAAGGAAAAGGCAGAACTATAATGATAATATTAATAAATTATATAAATTGGAAAGGATCAGCGGGCCGGATTTAATAGCTGAACAGGCCGCATCCGGGCCCCCGGGCCTTAGTTTGCCCCTGCCTGTTTTAGAACAAAGGTTACATATAACGTAAAGGTATCGTACCTGCAACCTAAAATTGGTGTATATTGAGAACAATCATGATACAAAATGATCAATTATTGTACAAACAATATACAATTATAAACATTTTGACCAATTAAATTTCAGGACAGGCTAAATTTGTTTCACTGCAAGAGTCGTAGCAAAGATGCTCAAGAGCTGCCGGCGGTTCAGGAGCCACAGGTTGAAGACCTGAGTTCTAGGTTAAGACAAGGTGAAGTAGGATGGACTGGTGCAACTCCATCTGTTGGAGGTCGTCTGTATGTTATATATATATATACAGTATATATATAAATGAAATTACATGAATGTATGAAATTACAGGAGCTGGAACAAGGTGACACAGATGACAGGTCACATTACACTTCTGTCTCTAACCTCAGTCTGCTACCGCAGCGATACCACCGTGAAACCACTGCTTCACCGCTCATTCATTTGGCAGGTGAGATCATCCAACTTCTCTTAACTTAATCTTAGTCTTAAGACTAATAACGAAGTGTGACCTGTGCGTTTTACCCATTACCAAAGTGAGCAGGGGCAGCTCGAGCACTTGGGGAACAGTCCCACAAAATATTATTTTTACGGATTGAACCCACAACCTTGGCGTTACTAGCACCATGCTATAACCAACTGAGCAAAAACAGCCTCAGCAGTTGGAGGTTGAACGATAAATATTCTTCTACTAGGTGGCAGCAGATGGCTGTTTAACCTAAAAATAAAAAAAAGACACCAAAGATGTGTGTCTTTCTTCAATTCCTGTGAGTATATCAGTGTTGTGCTCAACAAAACAGGCCTAAGTCAAACAATTGTGAGTAAATTGAAAGTAGAAAAACATTATTTCTCAGAACATACAGTATATGTTTTTGCACATTTTTGTTAAATCAATATGATTCAAAATATTTTTGGTAAACATTTTTTTTCATTCATTTTTAAGAGTTCTTTTTTTTTATCTATTTCAAGCATATGTTTAACCAAATGAATAAAATAACCTGTTGATTATCAGGTGAATTAGGCCCATTAGACTCCAGGGTCAATACTCTAACATCAGCAGTTCCCACAATAGCCTCATACAGTCTAATAATACAGTAATGAATCTGCCACACGTATTGATCCGACTGTTTTTCCTGTCGACGGTGAGAACGGCCATGTCAGCAGCTTTCTTTAAGCTGCGGTGTCCTCCGGGGCCTCGGGGTCCTGTGCTTACAGAGAGGTATTATGGGATAGCTGGTAATGTCTCTCTTCAACTTTTTTCTCCAGGCTTTCTCTCCAGTAAGACCAGCCAAGAGTGACCTTGATATCATCTCCAGTAATAAGACCCCCTCTGCTCCCCCCCCCCAACTCACAGACACAACCATGAATAATCTCAGAGTCTAGCGATAAATCTGCAGAGTGGATAAACTGCCACAAAAGGCAGAGAAATTTAGGATTTTCCAGATACACCATAGTGTACACAGACCTAAAGGGTGACCAGGTGACATTTTGATAAAAAAAAAACAGCTGCTGGTAAACAGTTTTGGTAGTTTTTAGTTCCATACTGACACCTACAGTAGAAGGAAAAACTCATCATTAATCATTTAGATAGAGGAGGGTGGATGGATGGATGGATGGATGGATGGATGGATGGATGGATGGATAGAGCACCTCTATCGGGAGGTGTCCGGGTCGTGTCCGACTGTAAGGACACCCAGAGGAAGACCCAGGACACGATGGAGCGACTGTCGCTTGGCTGGCCTGGGAACGCCTCAGGATCCCCCAGAAGAGCTGGAGGAAGTGTCTGGGGAAAGGGAAGTCCAGGTGTCCCAGGTCCGACTGTTACCCCCACGACCCGGCCCCGGATAAGTGGAGGATGATGGACGGAACTTTAATGATCCCACGGGAGTTCCCTGTGGGAAATTAATTTTAAATGAATGCTTGAAGGCATGTGACTTAAACTTAACAAAGCAAAAGTTGGGCTCTGTATTCAAATAGTCAGAGGTGGAAAGTAGGGAATTACATTTACCGAGTAACTATTAAAGTATTTTCTGGAATAGGTCATTTTACTTTCACTTCAAGTATTTTACTTTGCTAGTTTGGAAAATAACCCATTAGTGAGTAAAAAATTAAAGGCGGGAAAAAAACCAATCTGCGTTAGAAAGAAAACTGCGTACGCCAGTGGATTTCCCATTATTTTAATTACATTACATTTCGCAGACACTTTTATTTTATCCCAAAGAGACTTACAATTTGCGGAATAGATAACGTTGACTAAGAGACAGACTGAAGCCTGTGGTTGGCTGAGGGCTGGTGCAGATTGGATGTATGATCTATGATCAAGTAATTTAGAGTAATTTTTACTCAAAGTCAATTTTAAAGTAAGTTTTTTTTTTACCTTGACGTGAGTACATTTTCAGATGGGTACTTTTACTTGAGTAGAATGTAAGCAAAGATACTTTTACTCAATTACATTTAGTACTTTTTCCACCTCTGTCAAATACAGATGTGGGTGAAGTGTACATAACAACCTTCGCCATCGCGACACTAAACCCACTGCCCTCTTTTCTGAGGTAAGGGTAACTGTACATGAATGAATGGTTTGGACAGAACATGTGTGTGGTGATGATAAAGGTTCATTAGACACTGACTTCCTCAGTTCCACTGACTGGTCTATCAACAACACACTGCTGCTTCCTCCTCACCATCAGATAAGATAAGAGTCACAGTGTTGTTGCAGGATTAGTGAGACGCTGCTTTTTTATTATACAGTTTGGTAATGAGCTGCTGAGACACCATCAGTGTCAGGAGAATCCCCCCCTCAGGAATGCCAATGAAAAGGCCGGCAGGACGGCCACGTGGTGGGGAATTGATTTGTAGGGAGTGCACTGTAGATAATTGAGGAGCTATTAGAATAACTCGCCAAGTCTAAATGTCATAACATCAGCAAACAACACGGAGCTGACATTTAACAGCTGACAATTAGGGGCCTGGATGTGTTGGAAGAGTGTCAGGTTAATGCCGATTAGCTGTGCGATGAATGTTAGCATCAGAAAAAGGGGAGGTGAGCGCCAGCTCCTCTTGTGGTCATAACATGTAGTGGCACAATGCATGTTTTCTAGACAAATACTACAGATGTGTATTGGAAAAAATCTGGCGATACGATACGCATCATGATATGGGGAAACAATCCGATATGTTGCAATTTATTGCGATACCGTAGGTACGTAGATATATTGACTTTTTAAAAAAAAATTGTCATCATAGTCTGCTTCTGTTCCATCTGAACATCAGGTTACTAACACTGGAACAGAGGGATCTAGATTTGGAATCACCAGAGAAGAAAGAAAATGAACCAACACCAGGAATATTGGACTGGGAATTGGTGATAAAAAAAACATTGATACAGTGCTGTAAAATATTGATAGAGTATCGTTTCAGTGTATCAATATTTTCATAAGCCTCTAACAAATACCAAAGTAACTCAATAACATTTTTTTAAGATGGCAAAAAATAAAATATTTAAAAAAATATTTCATGTAAATGATGTTTTATATCGAGTCCATCATTCTTGCAGTGGTTTATACAGAGCCAACTCCTCTGGATTGTCCCACTTTGTCAGTCTCGTACTGTAGTACGTACGTGATGGAACGTCCTGTCTACCCGTCTTCCTGCATCGGCAGAATATCTGTGATCCAGTACTGGAACAGGGAAACGACTGCAGCCGATTCATCTGAAACAGGCAGACAAGAAGAAGAGGCAGAGCGTTTCATTTCAAACTTCTCCTGATGACAACCCCACAGAAGATGTCAGCCAGTGTCACAGAATTAATTACTTTTACACTTGGAGGAACAGAAATCAAAAATCCCCTGCAAGTCATCACACGGACAGACCATAGATCATCCCAGACTCAAACTCTCGCCTTCTATTTACATATTCTGTGCAGAAAGGGATGTGAGTGAAAGGTCTTTCATACACAACGCAATGAAATCGCTTCTTTAATATTATGGGATACAGTCCGCCTGGATATTTTTTAAGATTACTAATAAACTTTAAAGGCCAGAGTGAAATGTGAGGAGAGTCTGCGATCGACTTTTTGGATTCGGATAAGAAACAGTTTCAGTTCTAGAGGTACGTAATATTTCTTATTGCTAACAGATTACAGGCTGATAATGTGAGAATTTCAATTGTTACTCACAGCATGTTATCACAGTGCAGAAAAACAAAACGTATAATATAAGGGAACGGACCGACTGAGGTCACGTAAAGGTCATTCTTTCTTAAATAGAAAATATGACATTATCACTTACTCTATCAGAAGAATCAGCCATTTGATTAAATTCATTAATAGTATCTGTTGAAAAATACTGATTTTTTTTTTATTTCAAACTCCAAAATAAAATAAATCATGAGGTCCTAATTATCCACCGTTCACAGTGAATTTGTTCTGCAGTGACGGTGAATTTGATCAAAATTCACAACTGGACGTTCGCCAAACGTGGCAGGTCAAAGGCTTTAGTTGGTGTTGAATCGAAAATAAAACAACATTCAAATACGCCGAACGCCGAAGCATGACTCATGCGATGCAGGTCAGTGGGAGCAGCCTAGGATGCAGTGTGGGTGGTGCATACACCAGACAACAAACTGCAGCGTCGTCTTGGTGACGGCGACAGACAGAGACTGTAACACGGCAACAATTGTCAGGGTCTGTTTATCACATTTCTGCAGCGATGCAGCAGGAAACAGCAGGATTAACCCGATCACCACGACTGGTCCTGATTCTCATACACACAAATGAATGTCTTGATGGTTTAGAAAGAGGACTTTGCTCTGGGAAAGGAGTCCACAAGCTTGGACAGAGCTGTCCTGAGAAGTAGTTCACTTTCAACGGATAAGTGAAAGAAAATGGATGGATGGAAATTTTTTGAAAAATTTTTTTTGAAAAAATAATTTTTTCAAAAAAATTTTTTTTTTTTCAAAAAAAAATTTTTTCAAAAAAAAAAAATTTTTTTCATAAAAAAAAATTTTTTTTCAAAAAAATGTTTCCTAAAATTTTTTCAAAATTTTTTTTTTCTAAAATTTTTTCAAAAAAAAAAAATTTTCTCTTTTTTGAAAAGATTTTTTTCAAAAAAGTTTTTCATAAAAAAATTTTTCTAAAATTTTTTTTTTTCAAGTGGCACTTTGGCCCAGAGGCAATGTCTCTGTCATTGTTGTGGAACCCCAGGGTTAACCTCCTGGGCAAGTTTGAATCTTGGTTAGGGCGGTTGGTACCTTCCAGTGGACTCACCACCTGCAGGAAGGTTTTGGGGGGGGTTGGTACGGTGCAGTGTGATTTGGGGGGCGGTCGTGCAGACTGCTGCCCCCGCGACCCGGTAACAGATAAGCAGATGAAAATGGATGGA